TGTGTACCCCCACCCCCAGACTTCTCTCGAGTACCCCTAAGGGTGCTCGTACCACTGGTTGAGAAACACTGACCTAAACCGTCTAAAGAGGGTAGACCTGAGTTGTTCCCAGGCTTCACAAACATTTGGGCTGGAAATGGAATCTTTTTTTGCTTTCATTATTAGATTTATTCTGTGATTGGTACCTCTTTCTCCCTTTTTTAAATTTTGAACATTTTACAAAGTTCTTTCAAGTGTGTATTTATTCAGGTGTCTGTCATACATTACAATGCAAACGTGTATGATACTAGGTTCTCCCTGCTCTGCAGATAATACTGTTCTAATTACAACCATGCTTGAATAACATTGTTTCTAATTTACAGTACCATATTACAGATCACCTGGATGTAGTCTGTGTAGGTCTACAATAGATCTTTAATTTTTTTAAAGGCCTGGTTCAAAGAAACTATTATCAACATTTTTAGTATGGACATGGCTGAATGATACAGTTCTACTCCCAAGATGGACTGATTTTTATCCACCTTCACTCTAAATTACTTTAAAGCCAATGGTTCCACCGTCCTTACAGGATGTTGAGTGACTGACTAATTTAGTTTATATTAATAATGGAGACAGTTTCCACTCAAATATCCAGGGCTGAATTTCTGGCTGATATAGAAATATTGATGTGGTAGAACCCTGGGGCTTTTTCTGCTCTTCCTGATATTCATGCATGTATCTTGGATTAGGTCACACATTTCTGATGCAGCTTGAAAGGTGTGTAATGGATGCTGACTCTTATCTTTAGAATTTTAAAATCACTCACCATGTAAAACTCTGAGAGGTTTGGATAGTACCAGATTTGCTGGCTCCCAAAGGGATTGCAAGGAGTCTGTTTACAGAATGTGAACAGTACTTAAAAAGCCTTAACAAGTCTCAAATATTAAAACTACCTATTTATATTCAGGAGCTTCAGGGGGTAGCCGAGTTAGTTGATACCATCTACAAGTTTTGTTATTCTATAAAGTGCTACCAGACCACTTGTTGTTTACTTATATTCAGATAGCCTTTGTTCCTCTTGCTTGTTCTTGGTCCTTTAATTATGATAGACCCGTATCCATACAACTATACTATCTTAGCCAATATAATATCTGCTATTTTGGTCTAATATCTAATCTGCCATTTATTTTTAACCATCACTCTGCACTACCAGGAGTATGAATTCAATGATTTCTTAGGTCTCTTTCACCTCTTACTTCTGATTCCATAATTAATTAAAATCAGACAGTTGGCCTGAGCCCAAGACATACTTACCATCCTCTTGAAATTGGTGTTTCCTGAGACTTCCGATATCACAGTGTGAGTTGTGTGGTGAAATTATAATGCTCACCTATTTCCCCACCTCCTTGTTGCCTCAGATGTGAATGCTCAATTCACATATCATATGATTTAATCCAGTTGTTAATCTATACTCTCAAACCTTGGGTCCAAGATACACTTAGCTTGCTGGAGCTGAGCAAAGTTCCCACACCATTTTGCTGGGTTTGGGTCTGTAGATCAAATTGTAGAGACAGTCCCTGTGCCAACACCACAACTGAGGATCCTGTGGTCCAGTTGCTTTGACCCTGAAACTAGAACCAGCTCCCAAGCTTCCCCACTGACTTTCAGATGCTATCAGAGTTCCTTAAAGCTGTGGGACCCTCCAATTTATTATTTTCCTCTTTCATTGACTACAAGACTATATGACTAAGTGACATCTACTCTGCAAAGAAATTTTTAAACACGTTTTAAACACAAATTTTAATTTTAGGTAGCACAAGAGATACACAGATATAGGGTAAAACAACAAGATCTGTATGCAAGCCCCTGTCTCAATTTCCTCACCACTCCCAAAAGACATTTGGGATTTGGTTAGAATCTTTTGAGGGTCCTGGCACCCTCCTTCTTCCTCTATCTTCTTCTCAGTCTTAATCTGCTTTTGTTTCTGGTTTCTACTTCCAAAATGGCTTGTGAGAGAGCCCTTCTTTTATGAAGTTTCAATCCCCTGTGTTTGATAGCTACCATAATTGACTTCAAGTCCTTCATCCTGTGATTTCACTTGGAAGAAATGGTATCTCTGGTCAGTAGCTAACTCATTATCCAAAGGAGTTTCTATTTAAGCAGGAGATTCATCAGGTTAACAACCTTTCATTATTTTGAATTGCCTTCTGTCCATGTCTCCATGAATCCCAGTTCAAGATGGAGGCAAAAAAGACAACAGGAAAGGCACAATGCAGTTTAACAATGAAAACAGTAGTCCTGAAACAAAATCGTGGTTATACTTTGATAGAGATACATACACGTATACACTAATCCATAACACTGGAAAAAAGCCCTTTTTATTAATCAAATTTTTATCCTTTTACGTTACTAGTTTGAATTTGGTTCCAGTTCTGTTGTCATCAGGTAGCTATTAGTCTAAGTGAACACATTTGTATCACCATAAAACAAACAACCCCGCTTCTCTCTCTCACACACACACACACACACACACACACACACACACACTAAAGCAAAATAAAACACCACCACAAAACCTGAACAAAACACCATTGTAATTGGCAACAAAAAGCTGGAACTTGCATTCAACTGGCAAGGCGGCAAAGGCCCCAATCCAGAAAAGTCACTTAGCACCTACTTTCCTGTTTCAATGGATTAGGGCCCAAATTACCATTTACCATACTGCACCTGTTCTGTAGATAAAAATAGACGTTCACTTAAGGCTGTAAAGCTATAGTACTTTTACAGTACTAAAAATTGATTTAAGTGTGTCTAAAAACACATGTAAATGATTCAGTGTGAAAAGCTAGTAATTACACTGATATATTGTACAGATTTTTTGGCTGCTTATTGTAGGTTTAGTAGTCCAAGGTATTAAGCACTCTATCCTTGGTCTTGCAAAGCACTTAAGCACATTTTACTTTAAGCATGCAAGTTATCTTGATTAAGCCAATGAACTACGTAATATTGCCTGCTGCAATCATTCAAATAATATCCAGAAATCATCAGCTTGACTTTAAAATTATGAAAGCTTAACAAATAATACATTCTGGGTTTCTTTTATTTGGCTTCTGAGTCAGACTTCTCATTTTTATGCTCTTCTCCACCACTTTGAGGGATAGAAACTTATACTTTGGGGGGGAGGGGTGAAAGTTGAAATTGTCACATGATAACATAATTCCAGGAGTTGGGACCAAATGTTACATTAGCAAAAAAAGTCACAAGGATTTGCAACTCCGTTACTCTCATGTTTAAAGTTCAAGTTTAACTTTAAGCACAACATTAAGTTGTTGCATTACCAAGTAAGTGCTCAGCAATGTGAGTTATGCCATCTGTGCCTTGCCCTGTGATCCTACAATGAGTTTTATGTGCAGCTTTTCAATTTGAGTAATGAACGAGACTTCATCTGCAATACATAACAATTTACTGTGTGTGTTATCAGTAGCTGTATTAGTTGGGCATTGAGGATCAATAAGGTTACAGTTAAATTATTAAAATATAAGAAATTGCACGGACAGTTCAGCTTATTGGTTTTGCCCTATAGATGAGTTTTCCAGACCATTTCACATCTTTTTCCCTTCATTTGCTGCACAGACTTTGACAATTGGATTTGTTGTCCTTTGTTTAAAAGAAATCTAGACATGTAATATCTGTAATGGGTCTTTAGCTGGAAACCACTTCTCTACATTGGAGATAACATCTTCTAGAGCCATGGTGGGGAGGTTGGAATCCTGAGTTCTAATTATGTCTCTTTTTTGTACTGACTTGCTATGTGGGTATGGGCATGTCACTTAACCTCTCTGCAAAATCATGTAATACTTACTATACCACTAAGGGTACTGTGAGGAATAGTTAATATTGTAATATAATATACATTGGGATTGTTATATGATCTTATTCTATTTAGGTAAATGAGTAATGCCATATAGTTAGTCCTAAGTGTGTTTGTCTGGACTGTGGAATTACTTTTATATTGTTGAGATGGGTTTGAGATGGAGACAGCCTAAATCTATGTTGTACTGTCTTTAACCCACTATAAATATTCTTGTATTCTTCTAGAAGAAATGCATATAGCTTGCTCTTGCAGGCAAGTCATATCCCTTTTTCTGTATTTTCCACTTTTTTAAAGAGGCGGTTGATGCACTGTTTGTGCTTAGTTATGCTATGATAGCCTTGTTGCTATAATCAAATAAAATGCTTCTGAAAACAGTACTCAAATGATAATCACATTAAGTAAAGTGTGACAGTTATTAGTTACCAGGATAATCACTGCAACTTTAATGCCTGTGGGACTTTGACATGATACTCTTGAATTTTTATGGTGCATAGATTAAGTAGTTACATGACAGAGAGTTCTACAATGTCCTCAGTCTAGTCTTTGTTTAATGCAACCACTAATGTCTTTTGCTTAGTCCTAATAATAAACTGTCAGTTTTGTTGCTTATTACAACATGTTCAATTAGAGCATTAAATCTGTTTTCAACAAATAAAACTATTAGGAGGTTTTTAATAGACTGTGCCTACCCTCTGCAATAGGCTCACTAACATGATATGGCACTCTATTTGACATGTTTCATGGCTTCATGAGAAGCTGGAGTTTAGCTTAGATACTGAAGCAAACTATTCCATAAAAGACTGTGCTGTAAATATAAACCTTTATGAACCTCTTGGGATGGCCCTTCTAAACAGAGAATTAAAACATTCCATGATTCAAACATATAAAATGAAAAGTAGCCCCTGCACTGAGTATTAATTTGCTGTGTGAAACCCTAAATATAAATTGGCATTGGCTCAGCTATCTTTGAAATTCATATTTATCACAGCAAAAAAACAACAACAAATTCCCATAATCCCCAAACAGGAGATGAACTAGACAGTTTGTATAATACTATATTAAATACAGTATTTGTGAGGAAACAATATTAAATTCTTTAAATCAACCTCAGTTTTCATTTTCTTGTTTGTTTCTTTCTCTTCTAAAGAGCCACCTTATTTCACTGCTGAGCCGGAGACTCGAATTTTGGCTGAGGTGGAGAAAACAGTGGATCTCTTATGCCAAGCAATGGGTGAGTGTGCAGTACATAAAGTATATGAAGCTGTTTAACAAGTGTAGAAGCGTGGAAAAAAATAAATGCACACTTCCAGTATCAATTCTTAACATTTTGGGGTGGGTTTCAGTAGAGTTCTGACAATTTACAACAGCTGAAGAGCTGCCCTTCACCTTTAGAAAATCGGTCTGTTCTTTTAGTTTTGTTTTGTACATATGATACAAGGAAATGGATTTTCTTTATATAAGAGCCGGGTAACATTAGTGCTGCTTGTCTGCTTAGCAAAATAGCCCCGGCTCCTTCTCTTCACGTCCCTTGCTTTAAAGGATACTTTCTACAATTATAGTTAGCTAAAAAGGATTAGGGTCTTGAGCCAGTAAATTAACTGAAGTAAAACAATGGCTTTGGGACTCATAACTTGGGATGCCAAGAAACAATCAATAATTCCAGTACTCCTGGCTGAAAATTATGGTGCTTTTATACTGAGTAGAAATGTCTGTTGCAGTATTGTTCAAGTGTAGTAGCATTTCTACAGCAGCATTCTTTCTTTCCATTTTTAATTGTAAGGTGTTTTAGTGCCGTAACAACCTTCCAAATGCTTTTAACTGGACTTAAAATGAATGAATTTTAGATACAATTCTAAAGAAGCAGAAGCATGCCCTCTAATTAAAAAATAGAAAGCATCCTAATGAAATGATTACAAGAGTAAGATGCAAGTTTCTAATCCTGATTATTATGTTTGACTCTGCCACTGCATATATTTATGATCTTGCCGTATCATTTAACCTTGTGGTGTCTCAGGATTCCCTGACCATAAAAGGGGATAATCATGTACACCCAGTAAAATCCTTTGATGTCCTGAGATGGAAAGCTCCATAAATACAAAGTATTGTTATTAACACAGTTACATGCAAAAGAGCAGTGTGACAACTGGAAATCATTAACTATTTTCCAAATACTACCTTTTCCAACATCAGCTGTTTTTCACAATATAAATATTCTTCACGGCATGTTATATCCATTCTTACTAACCCACCCTACCCCCTGCCTGTGCCAAATGAAGTGATGCTGAGTACTATCAGATCATATTATGGTAAATATATTGGAATTTTCTGTTACCCAGATGAAATTCTCACCGAAGTTGCTTCTGTTATTTTTTAAATCACACCATTAGCTAAGCAGGCTATAATAATATTTTTCTGAGATTGATGAAGCATGTGGCAAGCAAATAACTCATTCCCCAGCCGTTAGTTCTCCTATTGGGCAAGGAGAGTCCATCTAAAACCCCAACAGTTGTCAACAATTAAAAGAAAAAAACCTGCACTTGAACCTGCCAGACCTCATGACTTTCAGACCTACTCTTCCATCTAGCTCTCCAGGGGTACATCTACATAGCAGGACTAAAGTGGAATGAAGCTACGCCACTTCAGAAGGGTCATGCCAGACCTCATGACTTTCAGACCTACTCTTCCATCTAGCTCTCCAGGGGTACATCTACATAGCAGGACTAAAGTGGAATGAAGCTACGCCACTTCAGCTAGGTTAATTGCATAGTTTAAATTGAAATAGCTTACTTCAGCTTTTGGCAATGTCTACACAGCAGGAAGTCAGAAGTCCTCCAGCTCAACATTATTTCACAATAAAGGCTGGCAATGTAGACATGCACAATGTTATTTCGGAATAACACCAGTTATTCTGAAATAACATTGCTGTGTAGATGTACCCTAGGGGACCAGTGGAGCATTCCTAAGTACCCTTATGGCTTGAGACTTGTCTGTGCAGTGGAACTCTCTTATAGTCAAATCAGTTAATATACCTTCATTGTGGATACAATCCCTGAATGTATGGATGGATGGATGGATGGATGGATGGATGGATGGACCTCAGAAACCCATCCCAAAGCAGTTCTTCTGCCAGGGTGTTGGTTAGCTATATAACAGGCATGCAATGGGACTCCTGGCCGCATCCCAACTCAATATAAATGAAAAGAGTGGGGCTCAGAGGCATAGGATTGATGAGGGAAATACTTGATCTGGGATTACAAAGATTGAGATGCCACAAATCCTGAAAAAGAGGTTGCTGCTTCTGTTTCAGCTCAGGATCTGGAATACTAGTCCTGGAGGTGCTATAGAGCTACCCTATGCCCTGGCCACAAGTATGAAGGTGGATTTGATTTCCCTCTGCTCCCGTGGAGGTCTCTGCACAAAGCATATTTACTCAGCTTTTGCTCACTGTAAGTGTGAGAGACAGATTAATTTCACAGTATAAGTAGAGATTAACTACAGAGAACATTGCAACCTGCACAGATTAGTTTTTTCTTCTTCTTCACAAATGGAGTTTCAGTATATCCAACTGCACTGTAACCAGGCTGTAGTGTATATCTCTCAGCAGCCATTGCTGCTTTGTGCATTTTCAATGCACTTGCTTTATCTTGTTCTTTATGTACTTATAGAAGATCTGGAGCTGCAGGGAGCACTCGTGGTGTCATGGGAGTAGAGTTAATTGGGCCACAGTTCTAGCTGCGTAGGTGGAAGGATGCTTGTGGGACACATCAATAACCTGCTGGGAAATGGTAGTGCTATAAAAAAACAAATAACACAAATCATCATCGAAACTTCTCTAGCCTTTAATCCAAGTTCTCAAATCACTTACAATTGCTAAAATTCAGAGCATGGCCATTAGATTGTTAACCCTATTTACAAGGTGGGGAAATTGAGCCACAGAGTCATTAAGTTACTTGCCCAAGGTCATATAGCAAGTAGGAAAGCAAGAATAAAGTTCAGCTTTCCTGGCTCCCAGTCTCCTCTCTAACCATTAGATTAATTTTCTAATCTTGGTAGAGTGCTTTGAAAAGTGTATGGCACTCTATAAATGCTAAGTATTATGATAATTTTATTTTATTAGACTGCATCCCCTCAAACAGCAAAGTAGGACCTAGGATAGGCAAAATGTCTAAGAATAAAGATCTTTAAAATGTTTTGTTCTCTAGATTTTCCATCAGAAAGCATCAGGGAGAAATAAAGAGAAAATTCATAATTGTTTCTGCTGTTTTTTAAATTTTCATTACAAAATGAAAAAGGGAATTTTGTACAATTTCAGAGGCAAATTTTTCTGGGAAGATCATTACAAGTCCGAGTGAATTCTATTCACAGGCTCCCGCATAGGGAATTTTGTACAATTTCAAAGGCAATTTTTCTGGGAAGATCATTATAAGTCCAAGTGAATTCTATTCACAGGCTCCCGCATGCTTAGATAAGATCCTTGTTTATCCATGTGAGATAAGATTCATTACTGTGGAGTAGGGGAACATATCCAGGGCTGACACACAGGAAATCAAGAGATGGAAATATTTAGTTTGTCAGCTGAATTAATTATTAAAAGGTGTATTTCACAGTGATTATAGGATTAGGTTTTTTTGCTATATTGCTAGTGGGAGGGGATTTGAGGAGTGACTCCAATGTTAAAGTTTCAGGCTCTGTTTACGCTACAGAGTTTTTGTGGAAAAACAACCATTTTTCCACAAAAACTCAAGAGTGTCCACACTTCCAGCACGTTTTTACACAAAAATATCAAAAGAACAGAGGGATTTTTGCACAATAGGTAGAGTGTCCACACCTCCAGCACGTTTTTACACAAAAAAAATCAAAAGAACAGAGGGATTTTTGCACAATAGGTATTCCTCTTTCTACGAGGAATAATTCCTTTTTGCGCAAGAGTTTTTTGCGCAAAAAGAGGCAATCAGAAAAAGCACAGGTGGCCTGGTGGCCATTCTGTAAATAGCAATCAGAGTTTCCTTTCGAGAGAACGTCCATGCAGTCTGGACTCTCTCTTGCACAAAAGCACATCGCTTTTTCAATGCACTTTTGCAGTGTGGACGCACTCTTGCGCAAGACGTTTTTACAGAAGATCTCTTCCACAAAAAGCTTTTTGCGCAAGAAGTCTGTAGTGTAGACATAGCCTCAGAGGGGTAGCTGAGTTAGTCTGTAACAGGAAAAACTTAAAAAACAACGAATAGTCTAGTAGCACCTTAAAGACTAACAAAACATAAGGTTTGGGTCAAAGTGTTGAATGCCAGGTTTCATTATCTGAATGCCTATCAAATCTAATATGTGGAGAAATTGAGTTGTTATTATTTAAACTTGAAATTTTTTCCAGTCTCTTCTGTATCAGGAGGAATATTCCATTCTGTTTCTTCATTACTGTGTGATAATTTGTATTTGCCTAGGGGATTTTCAAGAGATGAATAACACCCGCGTTGAGAACTCTGAACATAAGAGTTTAAACTAATTTTGTGTATGGGCTGTTGAATGAAATTGAAATTGTGCCTGTTGCATGGTGGTTCTTTTATATCTATTTCTTATCAAACACCACATACTGTGTGCAACGCTTTTCTTTCTGGGGCAATTTTCAGCTTCTGAGGTGATTTTGGCAATTGAGGCATGTTTGTATAAATAGCATTAGGGTGAGTCAGATGCTTTTTTTCTGCTACTTCTTATTTTCTGTTTATTTTATTGGGGTAAATACAACTTTTCCCTCACCCAGAGGATGAATAAAATTCAAAGGAGACACCAATTGATATGTCATGTTAGTAACGCTGAGATTTTCAAAATAATGGTGGTGTTGTGTCCCCTAATAGTAGCTTGAAATTCACTGCCTCTCCAAGGCTCTAGGCATCATTTGGGCCCCATCCTAAGGTCTTAAATGAGGTGCGGGTCCTTCCCTAGAGTGAATTTCACTCCTTAAGGAATAAACTCTGCAGCTGCCTGGTGATGCAAGCAAGTAACTATTACCCCTACTTTACATATATGAGACACAGAGATGGCTCAGCACTGCTTAAAATCAGGCAACCTCAGTTCCCATTGACTACTTCAGTTGCCTAGATATTATTGCAACAGGTGCATTAGAGATCTATAAGGTAGACAGATGGATGACAGACAGGGACTGTAATGGGATCATCTAATCCATACTGAGCATAGATGAGGGGTGGGAGAGAAGGGAGTCTCTCTCTTTCTTGAGAT